GAGCCCAACCTGGGCAATGTAGCGAGAACCTGTCTCTGCAAAAAATACAAATATTAGCCAGGTATGGTGGCATGCAGCTGTGGCCCCAGCTACTCAGGAGGCTGAGGCAGAAGGATTGCTTGAGCCCATGAGTTAGACTGCAGTGAGCCATGGTCATGCCACTGCACTCTAGCCTGGGCAACAAAACAAGACCCCCTCTCAAAAAAAAAAAAAAATTGTTAAGACTCCTCAATTCACCATCTTTCCATTTTACTGAAAATAGAACAATGTTCTCCCTGAGAAATTTGGCTGGCCCAAGGAAATAGGCCCAAAGAAACTGACTTTTGGGGCTCCCTACACTCCAGATGATCCTTCCTGAATTGACCCATGGACTCAGGATTTCACACCAACTTCTTCGAATTTATATACAGCTTTCTTCTAATTTACTGTGGGTTTTTTTTTTTGGGGGGGGGCTTTTTTTGTTTGTTTTGTTTTTTGAGACAGAGTCTTGCTCTGTCACCCAGCTGGAGTGCAGTGGTGCGATCGTAGCTCACTGCAGCCTCAAACCCTTGGACTCAAGTGATCCTCCCACCTCAGTCTCCTGAGTAGCTGGGACTACAGACATGCACCACCACACCTGGCTAACTTTTTTATTTTTTTATAGAGATGGGGGTCTTGATATGTTGCTCAGACTGGTCTTGAAATTCTGGCCTCAAGTGTTTCTCCTGCCTCAGCCTCCAAAAGTGCTGGGATTTCAAGCATGTGCCACTGCACCTGGCCAAGAACATTTAAAGGCGAAGTGAGAACTTCACATTATGCCATATCAGGAGGTACACAATGCCTACTTGTCCCATTATTAGCAATCCTTAGTTTTTTCACTTCATAAGCTGGTCACAAAAGCAGACCTTTTGGTTGGAAAGGTAGGTTATTTCCCTTTGTAATTAGCAAGTAACAGAATTGGGATCCTTTCACATTGTAAGACACCTTGGCAACCTAATGAACATAGCATACATTCGAGATCTTTGCCTGAATTCATTATTACATTGGAAGAGTTGCAGAATGCAGATGTTCTAATTCTACTATTTGTTTTGTATATTTTAGCTGACATTATTCTATGAAAAAAAGCTCCCTCATCAGTGGAGATGAACTGCACTTCTTTCTGAAGAGGCAAGGTCAGCCAGACGTAGTGGCTCACACCTGTAATTCCAGCACTTTGGGAGGCTGAGGTGGGTAGATCACCTGAAGTCAGGAGTTCGAGACCAACCTGGCCAACATGGTGAAACCCTGTCTCTACTAAAACTACAAAAATTAGCTTGGTGGCACATACCTGTAATCCCAGCTACGTGAGAGGCTGAGGCAAGAGAATCTCTTGAACCCAGGAGGTGGAGGTTGCAGTGAGCCGAGATGGTGCCACTGTACTCCAGCCTGGGCAACAAAGCAAGGCTCTGTCTCAAAAAATAAATAAATAAATAAATAAATAGGCAAGGTAATGGCTTCTTTCCTATTTATAGAGTAGAGGTGGTGAAATATTCTCAATAACAGCAAAGTTTTATTTTTTCTTTTGGTTGTCACTATGGATTCATAGAATTGTTTGCTTTTTTTCTACAATAAATTATAGCTATTACAGTACAGTGTGGTGATGTTTAATACTCCAACTATTCCTCATTTGGCCAGTGGGAGCCCTTCAAGCTGGCTCCTATGTGCTTTTAACACGTCCCATTAATCTCTGAGCGTTTCCTTGATTGCTGGTACAACTGGACGTTGCCAGCTCACCGTTCACTCTGTGTGTCCCAGATCTGGGGTCCGCCATTATTTGTTTTAGTGGAGAATGGTGTTTAGAAACCAGGATCTGAGTGCTTGGTGTACTGACTGCTATTGGATTGTCTTTGCTTGCAGGCCCTTCCAGTTAAATAAAAAACGGGAAGTATATGGAAAAAAATCATAATATTGTGAAGGTATTTCTAATCCCATGTTTTGTTTTGTTTTGTTTTGTTTTGTTTTGTTTTGTTTTGTTTTGTTTTGTTTTGTTTTTGAGACAGAGTTTCAACCTTATTGCCCAGGCTGAAGTGCAATGGCACGATCTCCACTCACCACAACCTCCACCTCCTGGGTTCAAGCAATTCTCCTGCCTCAGCCTCCCAAGTAGCTGGGATTACAGGCATGTGTCTCCACACCTGGATAATTTTGTATTTTTAGTAGAGACAGGATTTCTCCACGTTGGTCAGTCTGGTCTCAAACTCCCGACCTCAGGTGATCCACCTGCCTTGGCCTCCCAAAGTGCTGGGATTACAGGCATGAGCCACCGTGCTTGGCCAGATTGGATTTTATAAAAACTCTGCTTATTTGCTATTTATAAGAGGCATACCTAAAATATAACGTCAGAGAAAGGTTAAAACATGGAGGCAGGGAAGGAATTTAAAAAGATACTGGACAAATACCAGACAAATAGTGATCAAAAGAAAGCAGGTATGAAATTAATATAAGAACAAATAAGCTTTGCAGTAAAAAGAATTGATAGGGATAAAGTGGATCATTAATGATAAAAGAAGAAATTTGGCCAGGCGCAGTGGCTCACACCTGTAATCCCAGCACTTTGGGAGGCCGAGGCAGGTGGATCACGAGGTCAGGACTTTGAGACCAGCCTGACTAACATGGTGAAACCCTGTCTATACTAAAAATACAAAAAGTAACTGGGCATGGTAGCACGTGCCTGTAAGCCCAGCTACTCAGGAGGCTGAGGCAGGAGAATCCGGGAGGTGGAGGTTGCAGTGAGCCAGTATTGTGCCACTGCACTCCAGCCTGGGTGACAGAGTGAGACTGAATCAAAAAAGAAGGAGAAGGAGAAGGAAAAGGAAAAGAAGAAATTCACCAAGAAGAGAAAACAATTCTGAACATGACAATAGTCTCAAAATATATAAAGCAAAAAGCCACTGAGTTCCAAAGAGAACTTGACAAATTTGGTGGGAGATTTTAATACCATTTCTTCAAAACTGATAGAATCACAGAAAAAGTAAGAAATCTGAACAACAATCAGCAAACTTGATATGGAAAGAACAGCACCCCTGCCTGAGAATCAGCAGCCTCCACGCAGGAGGACCGAGGGGAAGCCAGGGAGCAGGGCAGCCTGAGCCAAGGCCAAGCCCAGTTGAGAGCAGGAAGTGGAAGGAGGTGGCCAGGCGCGGTGGCTCATGCACTTTGGGAAGCCAAGGCAGGCAGATCACGAGGTCAGGAGATCGAGACCATCCTGGCTAACTAGGTGAAACCCCGTCTCTACTAAAAATACAAAAAATTAGCCAGGCATAGTGGCACACACCTTTAGTCCTAGCTACTTGGGAGGCTGAGGCAGGAGAATAGCTTGAACCTGGGAGGTGGAGATTGCAGTGAGCTAAGATTGCACCACTGCACTCCAGCATGGGCGACAGAGCGAGACTCCATCTCAAAAAAAAAAAAAAGGAAGTGGAAGGAGGCACCTAGGAAGGCCAAAGATGCAGAGGAGTGTGTTCCAGAGGCAGTGGGAAAACTGGGAGGGAATAGGCCTTGGGATATTGGATAGAGAGAATAAGCAAAGAACCATGCAGGAAGAAGAGTGGGGTAGGAGGCAGTGACCTTACCCGAGAGCCTTATGTTTTGCGGCTGACAGAAGTGTGAGGCATGGTGGGTTCAGGAGAGAGGTCAACGATGCATCACACATCTCCAAAGCTGATAAAGGCAGCAAGTGGCACTGAGGCCAACCTGGTGTCCCTCAGAGAGGCGGGACACATATCGTGTGCCAGGAAAGAATAAGACACAAACCCTCATCTAGTGTGTTGTGGGAATGATGCAAAGCTCAGTGTGGCTACTGCACAGGATGGGAAGCAGCCTGGGCATGCCCACAAGGCTCTCTCCCTTCCAGAACCTGGCTCAATAGGGTTAGAAAAGATTTAATGACAATGAGCTCTCTGGGACCATGTGCCCAGTATTTACCTTTCTTATCTGTAACGCTCAAGTCAATATTCTAAGGTAGGAATTGTTATCCTCATTTTACTTTATTATTTATTTATTTATTGAGACAGAGTTTCCCTCTTGTTGCCCAGGTTGGAGTGCAATGGCGTGATCTTGGCTCACTGCAACCTCTGCCTTCTGATTTCAAGGAATTCTCCTGCCACAGCCTCCCAAGTAGCTGGGATTACAGGTGTCTGCCACCATGCCCGGCTAATTTTTATATTTTTTAGTAGAGACAGGGTTTCACCATGTTGGCCAGACTGATCTTGAACTCCTGACCTCAGGTGATCTGCCTGTGCCTCCCACAGTGCTGCGATTACAGGCGTGAGCCACCGCGAGCCAGGCCTATCCTCATTTTATTTACAGAGAAGCTGAAATTCAGAGAGATTCTTGCCTAAGGTCTTGCCCTGGACCATTTCCAGGTCTATCTAACTCCAAAGTCCATGTTCAGTACACTGCCTCGTGCTTGGGAGCAAAGAGGGGACTTTGCTCCTAAGACCAGATCCACACCACAAAGAGCCTTAACACTTGCTACTGGGGGAAGCCACCATCCTCGGGAAAAAGCCAGGTGCTATTCCCCTCACCCCAGAGGGTTTAGGTTTTGGGAGAAAGAGGTCTGATGGAACATAGGCCAGGTCCATGTGTTAACTGATTTGGATAAAAGAACAATAGCTCAGGGCCCGCCAGGGAAAGGACAGCCAAGCCCAGGGCACAGCTGCCAAGACGCCACCTCTCCCTCCTTGTCCCACCATGCCTTGTCACAGCATGAACATACCCCTCTCAATTTCCCTCTTCTCCCGTCTCCTGCATAGGCAGAACCAGCTCTGAGCAATAGCCAGGGCAGCAGGTCCTCAGGCCTGCCACTACGACCTGTTTACCCTACACAGACCACGATCTATCAGGTCTGAGTAACTCCCCACTGCTAGATGTTTGTGTCAAAAACGCCTTCCGGTGGTGCAACAGCTGGGTGGGACCAGTGACGTGGACTCAAATGCCACAAAACGTACTGAGCACATTCTGAGTCAACACAATGATGATGTGCCCACCCCAGATAAAGATTTTCAGTATTTATTTGTTTGGGTTCTGCTTATATGTACCCCTCTTCATCACCAAAGATTTGAGGCTACTGAAAATGAAAACTGAAATGGCAATAAAAGAGAGGGGGTTGCAGAGAGGACACAGGACGGGGAAAATAGAAATAATCGCAGAAAATTATGACCTGATGAAGAGCACAATCACAGAAGCGGTGAGAGATGGCAAAGTTGCCAGAGGTAATCTCCACGTTGCCTTTGGGTTTCCTGGAAACCTGAGAAGGGAGGGATTCAGTCAGTTACATAATTTTCTTTTCTTTCTTTCTTTTTCTTTCTCTTTCTTTCCTTTCTTTCTTTTCTTTTTCTTCTCTCTTTCTTTCTTTCTCTCTCTCTCTCTCTCTCTCCTTCTTCCTTCTTTCTTTCTTTTCTTGAAATGGAGTCTTGCTCTGTCACCCAGGCTAGAGTGCAGTGGTGGGATCTCGGCTCACTGCAACCCTCACCTCCTGAGTTCAGCCTCCTGAGTAGCTGAGACTACAGGCATGAACCACAATGCCTGGCTAATTTTTATATTTTTAGTACAGGCAGGGTTTTGCCGTGTTGGCCAGGCTGGTCTTGAACTACTGACCTCAAGTGATCTGCCTGCTTCAGCCTCCCAAAGTCCTGGAATTACAGACGTAAGCCATGATGCCCGGGTTCTTTTGAATTTTTTCTTATAAACAACACTGTGATGAACATCCACATAGCTAAATGCATGCATTCCATGATTATTTTCTTAAGATAATTTTTTTCGTATTATTTATTTATTTATTTTTGATATGGAGTCTCACTCTGTCGCCCAGGCTAGAGTGCAATGGCATGATCTCGGCTCACTGCAACTTCCACCTCTCAGGTTCAAACAATTCTCCTGCCTTAGCCTCTTAAGTAGCTGGGATACAGGCACAAACCACCAAGCCCAGCTAATTTTTGTATTTTTAGTAAAGACAAGGTTTCGCCATGTTGTCCAGATTGGTCACCAACTCCCGACCTCAGGCAATCACCCGCCTTGGCCTCCCAAAGTGCTGGGATTACAGGCAGAGCCACCTTGCCCCACCTTAAGATATGTTTTTAAAAGGAATAACGTTTTCTGGCCAAGTGCATTCCTATCCACAAACCTTTTGCCATAACTTCCTGGGGAGGTTGGAACCAATGGCTTAGACCCCAAAGGAAGGAATTTACCCTAAAGCTTTCAGCAATCTTCTGTCGATGCTCCCTGTGTGGACTTCCAGACAAACACGGACGACTGAATGCACGCATCTAATTTCACTTTTTTTCTGAAATCCTCCTGAAACTATAGTGAAGAAATCTTTTTGGAAAAGTTATAGCAAGGCACTGTGGCTCATGCCTGTAATCCCAGCACATTGAGAGGCCAAGGTGGGCAGATTGCTTGAGTCCAGGACTTTGAGACCAGCCTGGGCAACATGGCGAAACCCTGTCTCTACTGAAAAAATCAGGCAGGCATGGCACACTTGTAGTTCCAGCTACTTATGGGGGCTGAGGTGTGAGAATCACTTGAGCCTGGGAGGTGGAAGCTCTAGTGAGCTCTGATTATGCCACTGCGCTCCAGCCTGAGCAACAGAGTGAAACCCTGTCTCAAAAAAAAAAAAAAAAAGATAAAGATGTAGATTCACAGAGACCAGATGGGGGAAAGAAAGAAAAGACCACAACACAGTTTTGGATGTTAGAAAGCAAACGGACCAGTGGCAACTGACTTAGCAGACCTTGGGAATGCTGGTCATGAAATGGAAGTGAGAACAGATGAGTTCCAGCCTGACTTACACTGCTGGATTCTCAAAAGACTAAGAGATGACAGTAGGGCTGCTGCTAGCCCATGCTGCACCTGTGGGTGCAGTAGAAACAGCCTCCCCTTTCTCAAGACAATCTATAGCCATCTGCCAGAGATTTGTCGTGATAAATATACAGCCAGGCACGGTGTGGCTCACTCTTGTAATCCCAGCACTTTGGGAGGCCGAGGCAGGTCGATCACCTTAGGTCAAGAGTTCAAGACCAGCCTGGTCAAGCTGGTAAAACCCCATATCTACCAAAAATAAAATTAGCCGCGCATGGTGGCGGGTGCCTGTAGTCCCATCTACTCAGGAGGCTGGGACTCCAGCCTGGGTGATGAAGCAAAAAAATAAATAAATGAATCTCAAAAAAATAAATAAACAAATCTATCATGTCTACCCTGTAAGAGAGGTAGACTCAGAATGATGCAGTGCACCGCTTGCCCAGCCATATATGACTGTCTTGAACTGGGGCACCAGTTTCTACTGAAAGAAGAGGTGACAGAGAAGGCTGTCATAAAACATGAAAGATTGATTGAAACAATGTAAGGAGCAGTTAGCGCTTTAGCTTCCCTGTCTTAGCTTAGTAGAAGATTAGAAGTTTATTCTCCTCTTTTTTATTGACACAGAGTTTTGCTCTTGTTACCCAGGCCGGAGTGCAATGGCACGATCTCGGCTCACCACAACCTCCGCCTCCTGGGTTCAAGCAATTCTCCTGCCTCAGCCTCCCAAGTAGCTGGGACTACAGGTGCTTGTGCCACCATGCCCAGCTAATTTTTGTATTTTTAGTAGAGATGGGGTTTCACCATGTTGACCAGGTTGGTCTCGATCTCTTGACCTCGTGATCCACCCGCCTCGGCCTCCCAAAGTGCTGGGATTACAGGCGTGAGCCACCGCGCCCGGCCACGGAAGTTTGTTCTCTTGAACATCAGTCAGAGTTGAGGACAGGAGATCTATACTAGGAACAGGATTAAATCAAAGTATGTCCTCTGAAATGTTGAGTCCCCTTCCTGCTTCTTCCACTTGGCCCCAAGGACACTGGTATCCAGGCCTTTACCCTCCAGGCAGAAGGATGAAAGAACTTTCTTAGGGGAACATGACCAGCTCAAGAGGTAAGACGCAAAGGTTTTTACACTGGGGGTTCCCCAGCTAAACATCTCAGTGGATCACCCTACAGCGACATTCATAGTCAGTGAATACTACCCATGCACTTGGAGCTTCACACTATCTTTAAAATCTCCCACTCTTAAATTTAAGCAGCCAGATTGCCGGTCATTTGAGGAAAGATCCTAACATGAAAGATAGAAACCGAAACAAAAAATATTTAAAAAGGAAGTTGGAGAAAACTGAGAATATATAGAAAGAAGAACACACTGGAAAATGCTGTTAATAACATCAAAGAATGAAAAGAATGTATTACATTGATTAAACAAGAACAGGATACTATAAAAAGACATTCACAGAATAACAATAATAAAAACTCTTAGAAATTAAAAAAAGATAGCAGAAATAAAAACTATATAGAGAGTAAAGGAATAGCCCAGAAAGGGAGAGCATGCAGAGACTGAAGAAGACAAGAAACCAGCCAAGGTTCTTCATCCCAAGGCAGCTGTGAAGTGCAGCACATCTCTGGCTCCATTTTCTCCATAAGGTTTGGGGTTCCATGAATGAGTCTGTGGGTAAATTTCCTGTGCACACAATGTATGTGTAAAGGAATAATTATCCTATGGTTCAAAAGAGAAGTAAAAGTAAGATCAAAGTGTAGAAGCTATGTTAAGAAAGATTCCAGCTTAATGATTTTTGAAAAGAGCAGTAAAAATAAGACCAAAATGTGGAAGCTGCATTGAGAAAGATACAATTTAATTCTAAAAATCTTTAACAGAGTTGCACAAAGATAGAATGAAGTGTTTTGAGAGATGGCACAGTTGGCTGTGTTCAATACTAAGCAGGATTCATTCACTCGACAATTGAGTGATGACCACGTGCAGGCACAGGGCTAGGCTCTCTGTATTTTCAGTATTCTATTGTTGCACCGCAAAGTGCCCTAAAGCAGCATCTTAGAACAACGGTAAACATTTATGATCTCTCACAATGTCTGCGGGTCAGCAGCTTGGCTGTGTTTCAGGGTCTGTCATGAGGTTGCAAGCAGGATGTTGCTTGGGGCTACAGTCATCTGAAGGCTAGGCTGGGGCTGGAGGATCTGTTTCCAAGGTGGCTCACTTTACTTGGCTGGCAAGCTAGTGCTGGCTGTTGGGAAGGCGCTTCAGTTCCTCCCTGTGTTGACCTCTCCACAGGGCTGCTTGCGTGTCCTTACAATATGGTGACTCTACCTTCCCTCAGAAAGAGTGATCCAAGAGAAATCAAGGTAAGTACCACAGTGCCCTTTATAACCTATCCTTGGGAGTGAAATACCATGACTTCTGCAAGAGCCTATTGATCACACATCAGCCATCTTCATGTAAGACGGACCACACAGCCAGGCGTGGTGGTGGGCGCCTGTAATCCCAGCTACTCAGGAGGCTGAGGCAGCAGGAGAATCGCTTGAACCTGGGAGGTGGAAGTTGCAATGACCTCAGACTGCCATTGCACTCCAGCCTGGGCGACAGAGCGAGACTCCATCTCAAAAATAAATAAATAAATAAAAAGACGGACCACACATGGGTGTGAATGCAATGATTGCTGGGGCCACTGTGAGGGCTAGCTACCACACTGTGCTAATGCAATGATGAACAAACAAATGGAGAGCCTGAGCTCAAGAGCTGTTAGTCTAGAGTTTTGATCATTTGTTAAACGATATCAAAGAATTGGGGCTGAGAGACACGGTGGTTCCCTCAAACCCTAATGCCCTGTGATCTCATGGTCCTAGGTCCGAGGTCTTTTGTCCCATAGCACTAATTCATTATATTAGAACCGGCAGCTCACCAAACCCTCACACCTCTGATATGGGCCATGGGGTGGGGGCTCTATTGTGCCCCTGCATTGTCAGCTGCTTGTCACCACACAGTGAGATAGCCGGGACTCCATCCTGCAGGCTCTCAGACAGGAGACAAGGGAGTGCCCTGATAACCCTAAGCTTGTTGTTTCTCTCCCCAGGACATGCCCCTGCCTCCTGGGAGACAGGGAGTGCTATGATAACCGAAGGAGGGCACAGTGTCCCCTTGCAGGAGCCGCTTTTGATCCTGCCAGGACAATCAATCCTTCAAGAGCAGCAAGGCCCTGTAGGTACAGGAAGAGAGTGACCCTCAGATCCCTTCCCTTTGCCCTAATCGGGGCCACATAGTATACCAGAGACCTCAGGGGTAGTGACCCCAGATGTTCTCAGAGGACTTCTAACCTTTGAACTTGGGGATGGACATAGGGGTATGGCTAGCACTGCAGCCTGGCCCACATGGCTGAGCCACCACACCCAGCCTAAAATGGTATCTTTTCTCCTTCTCCTCCTTCGTCTTCAATTTCTTCTTGAAACAGCATCTCACTCTGTCATCCAGGCTGGAATGACATGGGTGCTGGTCAGCACACCTATGGGGCACTAACCCAGGCCCACAGAGGAGTCCTTTACTTCCAAGTCACCTGAGGATCCAGTGGTGACCAGGGAGACTCTGACCTGAAACTGTGCTGGCTCTGGGGGACTGTTGGATAAGCCAATGTGGGCCAGGCAGGAGTTCAAACACACTTCCCTGGTGCCCACAGGGACTCCCAGCACACGCTCTCCTATGGGTGTCAATGATTCAGTCTTTCTTGGTGGCATAGGATATAGCCTGGAGAAGCTCTGGGGAATATTTCTTTTCTTACTTATTTCTGGTTTTAAAAGTAATACTCAGGATGACTATTGTTAAAAACAAAATAAAAAGAAACCAGAAAATAACAGAAAACAACAAGCGTTGGAGAGGCTGTGAAGAAACTGGAAGCCTGGGCGTCACCAGTGGGAAGGTGAAATGCTGCCGTTACTATAAACAACAGTTTGGTGTTTCCTCCAAAACGTAAATATAGAATTACCATGTGACCTGGCAATTCCACTTCTGGATATATGCTCAGAAAAACTGAAAGCAAGGACTGGAACAGATATGTGTACACCCACGTTCATAGCAGCAGTTTTCACAATTGCTTAATGGATAGAGTTTTCTGTTTGGGATGATGAAAAAATTTTCAGAAATAGTGGTGGTGGTGTTTGCACAACATTGTAAATGTGATTAATGCCCCACCTATAAATAGTTTAAATGGTAAATTTTATGTCATAAAAGTAATACTAAAATTGTCTTTCTTTCTTTCTGTCTCTCTTTCTTTTCTTTTTTTCTTTCTGGCAGGGTCTTCCTCTGTTGCCCAGGCTGGAGTGCACTGGCATGATCTAAACTGGACCCAGCCTCAACCTCCTGGGTTCAAGCAATCCTCCCCCCTCAGCCTCTCGAGTAGCTTGGTCCACAGGTGTGCACCACCACACTTGGCTAATTTTTGCATTTTTTGTAGAGACATGGGTTCGCCATGTTGCCCAGGCTGGTCTCAAACTCCTAAGCTCAAGCAATCCACCTGTCTCAGCCTCCCAAAGTGCTGGAATTACAGGCGTGAGCCACCACACCCAGCCTAAAAGGGTATCTTTTCTCCTTCTCCTCCTTCTTCTTCAACTTCTTCTTGAAACAGCATCTCACTCTGTCACCCAGGCTGGAATGCAGTGGTGTGATGTCGGCTCACTGAAGTCTCTGCCTCCCCAGTTCAAGTGATTCTCCTGCCTCAGCCTCCCAAGTAGCTGAGATTACAGGCACACGCCACCACCCTTAGCTAATTTTTGTATTTTTAGTAGAGACAGGGTTTCAGGCCAGGCACAGTGGCTCACGCCTATAATCCTAGCACTGTGGGAGGCCGAGGTGGGTGGATCACCAAAGGTCAGGAGTTCAAGACCAGCCTGGCCATCATGGTGAAACCCCATCTTAAAAAAAAAAAAAAAAAAAAAAAAGAAAGAAAGAAAAAAAAAAGAGACGGGGTTTCACTATGTTGGCCAGGCTGGTCTCAAACTCCCCACCTCAAGCGATTCCCCTACTTGGCCACCCAAAGTGCTGGGATTACAGGTAGGAGCCACCGTGCCTGGCCTAAAATGGTCTTACATCCCAACACTACATAAATGTATAAATTAGAGAGCAAAAGCCAACCCTCCTGGGATAAGCTTGTTGCCTAGCCTTCCAGATTTCTCACTTCCATATAAACCAGATGTTAGGATTCAAGTATTAGTACGAGTGGGTAGAAGCCACCTGTCCTTTGCATAGGGGGCATCCCCCTTCTCCATGGGGTTCTTGACACCACAGCATAGTAGAGAAAGATTCCATAGTTGAATGTTCCCTGCTCAAATCCCATTCTGGCTGGGTGCAGTGGCTCACGCCTGTAATCCCAGCACTTTGGGAGGCCGAGGCAGGTGGATCACAAGGTCAGGAGTTCAAGACTAGCCTGGCCAATGTGGAGAAACCCTGTCTCTACTAAAAGTACAAAAATTAGCCAGGCAAGTTGGCAGGCACCTGTAATCCCAGCTACTTGTGAGGCGAAGCCGGGAGAATTGCTTGAACCCAGGAGGTGGAGGTTGCAGTGAGTTGAGATTGTGCCATTGCACTCCAGCCTGGATGACAAGGTCAAAACTCCATCTCGAAAAAAAAATCCCATCCCACCCCTTGCTAGGTAATGTGCCTCACCATTCTGAAGTACCTCTTCCTCATCTATTGATCTATTGTGTCTCTGATGTCACAGTTGATCATGAGAATTACATAGGTCAATATGGTAATATAATTCAAAGTTGTTTTTTAAAAGCAGCTCACACTACAAGCATTACAGTCAGCTTCATTGCCATCCTTGTACTGAAAAGCCCTACAACTGTTGCCACTGGGCGTTTCTTCTTGGCCATCATTTGGAGGGGGCTTTCACCGCCTCGTATATTCCGTTTTCCCTTCTGTGACTCCCCTCCGTTCCAAGTCTTCATTACAACCTCAAATCCCAGTGCAGGGAATGCACAGAACAATCGACTCCATCTCTCTGTGGTCTCCATCCAGTTCCTCTGGATGTGCTCCTCCACAGCTAACATGCACTGTCACCGAAGTTTTCTCTCTCAGAGGTATTCTAGGCCTAGCTGTTGAACTAACAGGATTTTCACTTCCTCACACATTTACATACACATACGCACATGTGGTCCCTTACCAGGTTGCATAGTACATAATAGTTGAAACCTTGCTTTTTTTTTTCACTTAAAATATCTTGGAGATCTTCCCATAAACAAGCAGACTTCCCAAGCCAAACCAGAGTGTTTTGCTTGAACTCAGGACCTCATGATCTGAGACCTCAGGATCGGAGACCAGCTGTTAGAGAATCTCTGAGAAGGGTAGGTAGAGCCGGCTGCCAGGACCCGGGTCAGCTCAGCCGCTGGAGAGGAGCAGAGGACTGACTGGCCGCAGGGGACCAAGTCCACATGCTGGCTCTGAGCAGGAGGAAGGCTGCTTTCCTCGGTCAGTGGGACACACCCTAATGAGGACTGATACCAATTGACCAACCAGAAGAGGCCAGAGATGAGGCTGTGTATTCCAAGGCCCAGGCAAAAGACATATACCCTAGAGGGAGGGAGTGTGTCAGTCAGTTTGTTTTTTTGTTTGTTTTGACACAGAGTCTTGCTCTGTCGCCCAGGCTGGAGTGCAGTGGTGCCATCTCGGCTCACTGCAACCTCCACCTTCCAGATTCAAGCAATTTCCTGCCTCAGCCTCCTGAGTAGCTGGGATTAAAGGCATGCATCATCATGCCCAGTTAATTTTTGTATTTTCAGTAGAGATGGGGTTTCACCATGTTGGCCAGGCTGGTTGGTCTCGAACTCCCAGCCTCACCCACCTCACCTCTCAAAGTGCTGGGATTACAGGTGTGAGCCACTGCACCTGGCTTCAATCAAGGGTCTTAATTGCTAGCCACAGAAACCTACTCTGGAAAATACAATCAGAAGATGAACTTATTGACATATTTCCAGGAATTTCGAGGAAATGTCTAGGAAAGCTGGAGCACTTGGTTTGGAAAATAAACAAAAATAAGGGGAACTGAGGGAGAAACACAGCCATGCTCACACCACAGAACTAGAGGGATGGGGACTGCTGTGCTGGCACCACTGAGCCAGGATAGGGATAGCCCAGTGTGCCCGGCAGCCACTGCCATGCCTGGTCCCTGGCCTGAGGCTGTAGCCTGGACGCAAGCGGCCTGTTGCTGCTGCACTGTTCCTGCCCACCCCAGAAAGGATTCTCCACTGTCCCTGTATCTTTAGACCAGTCTGGGGCAATTATATCTGATTTGCTGCGTGTAGGTCCCATGTCCCATGCTGGAAGCAAGGGAGGCTGGAAGGCAAGCTACTGGCATTGTTAGTGTCTATAATGGAGGCAGCCTCTGACTCCCACCAAAACTCATCAGCGAGACATCTCCCAAACAAAGCAGGAGGGCTTCAGGAAGATGGGGCTGGGAAGATGTCTTAGATCTCTTGGGCTACTATAACAAGATGCCAAAAACTGGGTGGATTTTAAACAACACACATTTATTCCTCACAGTCCTGGAGGCCGGGAAGTCCAAGATCAAGGCACCAGCATATCCAGTGAGGGCCCTGGTTCATAAATGGCACCTTCCAGCTGTGTCCTCGCATGTGGAAGGGACAAGGGAATCTCTGTGGGGCCCCTGTTATAAGGACACTAATCTCATTTATGAGGGCTCCACCCTCATGACCTGATCACCTCCCAAACGTCTTCTATCCTAATACCATCACCTTACGGGTTAGGATTGCAACACAGGAATTTAGGGGGATGCAAACATTCAGTTCACTGCAGCAGCCAAAAGCTGCTACTTTGTTACTACCAGGAGGCATCTGCCAGGTCAGTGACCCAGGGGACTGGTGTGAAACCTTGGTGCAGGTAAGAGAAGGAGGATGAGGACTGTGGCGGGACCCTCAGAGACCTGCAGGATGTCCCTGAGGGTGGTGGGGAAGGTGCATGGTCCCATTCAGGGTTCATACTAAGAAACAAGTTCTGGGAGACACCGAGGCCCCCAGGGTTCTGGAGTCAGCACTAAACCAGGCAGCCCTCAGGTGAGGTCAGAGAGCATCTCAGAAGCTTCCAGTCCCTGTTGGAAACCACCCCCCGTGCATCCACCTTCCTTTTGGTGCCTCGTTGGCCTCGTTGGTCCTTTCCTAAAGCCACCCAGTAAACCCCCAGGTGCCTGGTGGGTTTGTCAAGGTGTTCCCCTATGGATTCCTGGGCTTCTAGCAGGGGTGGGTATCAACGTTGCCGCAGTAGCCTTACTGGCCTGGTATGCAGGAGTGAGAGCAGCTGGGGCAGGGGAGACCCAGAGGTCTGACCCTGGCCAGCTCCTGAGGCCTCTTTAGCAGAGTGTGGCCTGGAGGGGAGCGGGAGGAGGAAGTCCTGTTTAATACAGCACCAGCGATTGCACATTTACGCCGTGCCTGATGTTAAGTGCTTGACATCTCTGCGCCATCAGACCTTCAGCACGACTCTCTGAGCCAAGGATTGTCATGACCCCTGTCATCCAAAAGAAACTCAATTATCTTCCCCAGATCACCCAGTAGTCAGCCAAAAAGCCAGGATTCAAACCCAGGCTTGCCTGATTCCCAAGTATACATCCCTCCCACCAGGCCAGCACCAGGGGCCAGAGGGGGATAGGCCTGGGCCAGACCAAGGTGGGGGCCACCACCCTGAGGGCACATTGGGAGGGAAGGAGGAGGCCCCAGAACTCCCTCCCAGGGGCCTGCCCCCTCCTCCTCAGCATATTCCAAGCCTCTTCCAGGAAAGCCGTTAAGGGCTTGCATCCCCCTATGGAGAGGAAAGGGAGATGGCTCAACTCTCAGGCCTGGGGTCCAGAGGGAACCGCCAAGATATCAAGTCCTTTGAGACAAAGGCTTGAACTGACTCTTTCCTTGGGGAGGTTTTTTGAGTCTCTAAGGGTGGTGTGAAAGCCCACTCCAAAGGCTGCAGCTGCCCACAGCTGTCTGTGCTGATGAGCCCGCTCAGGGCCCCTGACTCTCTACCCCTAACCCCAGTAGCTGTAAACTCAGTCCCAAACTGGCAGGTCACCTGGCAGGAGGCCCCGGGAGAGTGAAGACACCTGTTCCGTCTCTCCTTCCTGGACTCATCTTGGTCCCCAGGACTCATTCCTCAACTCTGGATGGAAACCATGGGTTTAGCATTCAAGTAATTTCTGAAATAAGCATGAATCGCTTTTATAATGGAACTGGGGTGGGGTGGGTTAAATGAAACTACACAAATGAGTTAAAGGCACTGAAGATCTCATGCAAGGATGAACCAGCTCCCCCAGTGTACTGTGAGCTCCCCCAGGGCCAGGGACCCTATTCTGCTGGCCTCCAGGTGTTCTCCTCAGTGTGAGGCAGAGTTGGGCACACAGCTCCACAAAAGCTGTTTGCTGGTTGTCCTGTGCCTAAAACAATGACTGGCACTTCGGAGGCATGTGATGCCTATTTGTTGGCTAAATGAATATAAGTGGGTTGCGTATTTTGTCTTGGGATAATGTGTGACATTTTTTCCTGCCTCCCCTTAGAGGACCCCCCATATGCTCTCCTCTAGCACACCCTATGCTTACCTCTCCTGGGGAGTATCCCCTCCCCAGCCCTGGGTGTTTCCTGCCATGCTGCTGCTAAGCTCTGCCCAGTCATGGCCACCTCCCCACCTCCCCAGCTGCAAGGAGGAGTCACATGGGGGACCAGTTGAGGCTAGATTCTCAGCAGCTTTATTGAATATCAAGAGATGGTATCACCTCCCACTGGACATGTGTCCTCAACCTCATACCAGAACTGCTGTGGGATAGACAGACAGACAGGTGGCATGGCAGGGCAGGTGTCCATGGTGGTAAGGCCAGTGCACCAAGGACACCTCAGCCTTCCAAAGGGTCTCGCATCTGCACCTGTTCCTGCTGCTCCTGCTGCTGCTGCTGCTCCTGCTCCTGCTGCTGCTCCTGCTGGGGGATGGCGAGGGTCTTGTCCTGGCTCTCTTTCTCCTTTAAGGTGCTGAAGAAGGAGTTGACCTTGTCCCTCAGGTCCTTCTCCAGGAAGCTCAAGTGGCCTTCCATGTCCCCCGAATGGGGACCCAGCTTCTGCCTCAGCTGTTCCATCTGCTGCACCAGAGCTTTGTTGAAGCTCTCCCCATAGGGCTCCACCTGGCGTCGGAACTCCTCCACCTGCCGGTCCAGGTGCCCGCCCAGCTCTGCCAGAGACTTCTGCAGCTCTTCGGTGTTGGCCCTCAGGTTGCCATGCACGTCTTCAGCCACGGGCGCCAGCCTCTGCCGCAGCTCCTCAGCGTTGGCTGAAATCCTGGCCTTGAGCTCCTCAGCGTTCTTCTTCATCTGGAAGGCCAGGCCCTCGAGCTGGTGGTTGAGCTTCTCCTGCGCGTCCTGCGCGTAGGGAGCCAGGCTGCGGCGCAGGTCCTCCACGGTCTGGTCGATCTTGACCTTGAGCTCGTCGGCATAGGGAGTGAGGCGCCCCTTGAGCTCCTCCACGTTCTGGTCGATCTTGGCCTTGAGCTCGTCGGCGTGGGGCTTCAGCGAGGACTGCAGGCTGTCTGCATTCTCCCGCAGCACTCGCTGCATGCGCTGTGCGTAGGGGGTCAGCTGGCGCCGCAGCTGCTCAGCCTGCGTGTTGACCTGGGCGCGCAGCTCATCCGCGTAGGGCCCCAGGCGCTGTTGCAGCTCTCGCACGTTGTCCCCGATCTTCTGGCTCACCTCACTGGCATGGGGCAGCAGCCGGGCCCGCACCTCCTCCAGCTCCTTCCGAATCTCCTCCTTCAGCTTCTCCGAGTCCTTGGCCAGGCGTTCATGCAGCTCGGTGGCGAAGGGCACCAGCTTCTTCTGGAGGTCTTCCCTGTAAGTGTTCACTTCCCCAAGTTTGTCCTGGAAGAGGGCACTGTGGGGAAGGGCACAAGGAGGTCACATTACACTTTACATTTACATGGCAAGGCTTCGTCTGTTTGTATACCACTTGCCTTATGCATACCTGGTAGGACAGGTGAGTGCACCCTCCCTATGGTGGTTCAGATTGGAGAGGATGGGTGTCACAGACTAAGTTATGACACTGAATTTCTATCTTGGGATCTCCCACTGAGTTTGTCTCAGAATCTGCCCATCATGTCACCTCCAGCAGTTTGCTTTCCCCTCCTTGTCTGCAGAGGGTGGGACTTTGAGGTCCTTCCCAGCGGGGGTGTGCTGGGACCTAGGATCACATTGTATAATAGAATGTTGTCTTCTTGACCTCTGCCGGGGGTCTTCTAGCGGCACAAAACACTGATTTCCTTGCCGGTGCCCAGGGGGCTCCCCTCCCACCCTCCCTCCCCTTGATTCCACTGGATCCTGTCTTTCTGGAATGTATCAGAAGTCAGCTCTCATGATGTTTTCCTCCCTCCCTTTCTTCCGTGAGCCTGAATGATAGGATGTGGCCATTTGCCAAATTCTAGAACGTTAAATCAAAAAGACATTGCAGGGATTATTCGGTCCAATGTTCCGGTTTACATATGTGGATTCTAGGTCCAGAGGTCCCCGAGTTAGTAGCAGGGCAGTGGGTACCCTAAGCTCTGGGCTCCTGTCTCCAAGCTCAGCCCTTGCCAATGCATTGCGTGGCCTTTAAGAACTCCCTGTCACCACTGCACACTGTACTCCCTCTTACTTGAGTTGCTGGGTGAGTTCAGATTTTTGGAGATGTTCCACGGCCTCCTTGGCATTGTTGCTCAGCTGGCTGAAGTAGTCCCACATCACAGTGGCCACCTGGTCAGCACTGACCTCAGCCCGGGCTCCTGGGTGGTAACAGAGAGCAATTCATGAGGCCCTGTCTCCTTTGTGGCCCCTCTGCTCAGCTCTGAACTGCAGACAGGATGATGGGGCGCGGCGGGGGGTGGGGGGGGGGCATCCTGCCATTTTCCCTGTCTGGGTTTAGCTTTTTGGAAGCCACGGGGACATGTGAAACTGGTATAGCACCAATGCCAGTGGGCCCAGACTGGGACTGGGCCAGCTCTCCTGTGAGCCAGTTGGCAGCCAGGCAGACCCCATGTCCAGCTGGGGACTGATGGGCACCCAGAAGTGTCCCTTTGCTTTGGCCCAGCCTCCATCCTGCACCACTCCTAGCAGCAGCCTGAGAACCCCTTCAAAAGACAGCTTCTACTCACCAGTGACAGCCACCAGGGCCAGGGTCAGGACCATGGCCTTCAGAAACATCCTGGGCTCCTTGCTGGGCTGGAGGAGTTTCCTGCCACACTGGATCCTCCCTGGAATCAGGGGAACTGACAGAGAAGTCCTCAGGAGAGCTCACCTTTGCTGCTGTGGGAACTGACTGAAGCTCAGAGCTGGCCAGACATTTAAACTGCCCCTACCACCTCCGCCCCCCACCGCCCTCCCCGCCTCCTTCCCCAGCGTGACTCCACGCTGGAAGGTGACACATTCCCAAGAGGCCTCTTGGACTTTTGTGACCCTGAGATTACGTGGAAGCTGACAGCAGATCGGGGATGAGGCGTAGTCAGAAGTGGGGGCTGTTCCGCGCATGTGCGCCCCTCCCCCAGTGTGGAAGGGACGAGCGGAGTGGAAAACAGTGGAAGAAGCACCTTGGGGAGCCCCTGAGCCCAGGTTGATGCCTCAAGAGGCCCTGCTGGTGGCTCTGGGTTTGTGCCAGGCTCGTGGGGGGCAAAGTTCACATCTCCTCTGTCTACCCCAGTGAAGAGAGGCCCCCACAATCCCCACATCTGCCATGAATACTGACTCCATCTCAGAGCACCAGACACTGGACTGGGACCGTCAGGGGCTGCGGATAGCATAATGAGCTAAAATCTAGGTCTCTTTTTAAGGCACACCCAGGAAGAGGGGGCCCTGGAGAGCCTTTGGGCAGATGGGCTGGTGGGACGGGGACTTGTATTGAGGGGGTTAACTGTAGTGTGCTTCATGTCTCGCTGCCAAGCTGTGCCACCTTGGTCTCATTATTCAAAGCCCTGAGCCTCAGTTTCTCCTCCGAACAATGGGATGGTTCAGTACATTAAATAAGACATTGCTTGCAAAGTGGGTAATATGGTCATCCTTTAGTCTCCTTGGGAAATTGGTTCCAGGACCCTCTACACATACCAAAATCCATGGATGCGCAAGTCCTTGATATAAAATGGCATAGTATTTTCACATAACGTAAGCACAGCCTCCCATACACTTTAAAGCTCTAGATTACTTATAATACCTCATAGGATGTCAGTGCTGTGTGAATGGTTGTTATACTGTATTGTTTAGGGAATCATCACCAAGAACGTTTGTATATGTTCAGTACAGATGCAATTTTCTTTTTGTTTTTTGTTTTGTTTTGTTTTGAAACGGAGTCTTACTCTGTCACCCAGGCTGGAGTGCAGTGGCGTGATCTCGGCTCACTGCAACCGCCACCTCCCGGGCTCAAGCGATTCTCCTGCCTCAGACTCCTGAGTAGCTGGGATTACAGGCACCTGCCACCACACCCAGATAATTTTTGTATTTTTAGTAGAGACAGGGTTTCGCTGTGTTGGCCGGATTGGTCTTGAACTCCTGACCTCAAGTGGTCTGCCCACCTCAGCCTCCCAAAGTGCTGGGATTACAGGTGTGAGCCATCGCGCCCTGCCCAGATGTGATTTTTTTTTTAAATGGTTTTTAATGGAGATGGGGTTTTGCTATGTTGCCCAGGCTGGTCACCAACTCCTGGCCTCAAGCGATCCTCCCATGTTGGCCTCCCAAAGTGCTGGACTTACAGGTGTGAGCCACTTTGCCCAGCCCACAGATGCAATTAAAAAAAAAAAAAACTTTCAATTCAAGCCTGGTTGAATCCATGGACACAGAAACCACAGATACATAGGGCTACCTAGAGAGTTCCTGGCCCAGAGTACACTCTGAAAAATAGTTGCTGTTATTATAATAATCATGCTGTGTTCCTGATTTGGAGCAAAGCAGGGAGTGTCGTGGAGTGCTAACAGAGTATCTTCAGAGCAATTTTGTTTTTAACATTGGGGTACAAAGAGAATATTTATATTTTTTTCTAACCGCATAAAGTTAGAATTTCGGTATTTTTCATGAGAGAGAATATTGAGATGGTGTATATACTCCAAAAGAGAGTAGAAAAGGGCATTGTATATTTTTTCTAACAGAGTATCTTCAGAAAAATTTTGTCACTCTAGTGAGAGTGACAGAGTGAGACACAGCCCTGTGAGGGGTGCCAGGTGGGCCAGAGGCAGGGTGATGCGTGGGACCAGTCTGAGGCCTGACTCCTGTCCTCCTCTACCCCCAGCCACACTCCCTGGGCAGGATCAGCTGGCTTGAGCAGAGTCTTGGGACCTGAGGCTCTCAGGGGACCTCATCGGGGGATGGAGGGCAATGGCAGTGGTGCCCAGGAGGTCTTCTACTTGGATGTCTAATGGATCTCTACATGAGGCTACATGCCCGATCACACACAGACATCCACATCAGCGTGTCACACACATCCACATCAGTGTGTCACACACAGACATCCACATCAGTGTGTCACACACAGACATCCACATCAGCGTGTCACACACAAGCATCCACATCAGCGTGTCACACACAGACATCCACTGAGGTGACACACCACATCAGCGTGTCATACACAGACATCCACATCAGCATGTCACACACAGACATCCACTGAGAAGGTGACACACCATATCAGCGTGTCACACACAGACATCCACTGAGGTGACACACCACATCAGCGTGTCACACACAGACATCCACATCAGCGTGTCACACACAGACATCCACTGAGGTGACATACCACATCAGCGTGTCACAGACATCCACATCAGCGTGTCACAGACATCCACATCAGCGTGTCACACACAGGCATCCACATCAGCGTGTCACACATAGACATCCACTGAGAAGGTGACACACCATATCAGCGTGTCACACACAGACATCCACTGAGGTGACACACCACATCAGCATGTCACACACAGACATCCACTGAGGTGACACACCACATCAGCGTGTCACACACAGACATCCACATCAGAGTGTCACACACACACAGACATCCACTGAGGTGACACACCACATCAGCGTGTCACACACAGACATCCACATCAGCGTGTCACACACAGACATCCACTGAGGTGACATACCACATCAGCGTGTCACACACAGACATCCACATCAGCGTGTCACACACAGGCATCCACATCAGCGTGTCACACACAGACATCCACTGAGAAGGTGACACACCACATCAGCGTGTCACACACAGACATCCACTGAGAAGGTGACACACCACATCAGCGTGTCACACACAGACATCCACTGAGAAGGTGACACACCACATCAGCGTGTCACACACAGACATCCACTGAGAAGGTGACACACCATATCAGCGTGTCACACACAGACATCCACTGATGTGACACACCACATCAGCGTGTCACACACAGGCATCCACATCAGCGTGTCACACACAGGCATCCACTGAGGTGACACACCACATCAGCGTGTCACACACAGACATCCACATCAGCGTGTCTCACACAGGCATCCACATCAGCGTGTCACACACAGGCATCCACTGAGAAGGTGACACACGACATCAGCGTGGGTCCCTCTGCTGGACCACACCGCTCCCCGTGACTAGGAGGTGACATATAGCACATTGCACCGTTGGACCCTGTCAGTGAGTGCAGTGCTGACAACAAGGAGCTGCAGTTATTTGTAAAAATGAACGCCACCAGAGTAGACCACAATTGTGCTAACTCTAATTTGCCTTGTGTTCATTTTTTCAGTTTCCAGAAGGGGCTTGATGTCTCACAGGATCAAAGGCAGTCAAATGACCCTCTGACTCTGACGCCCCTTCTACTGGGTCCCCATCACCCCACGGTTGTCCCCACGCTGCCATGCTGCCTCCTTTTTGGTGCAGCCTGTGCCATCTCTCAGTGACTGTTGGGGTCAGACCCTGGAGTCCACTCCCTGGCTTTGCATCCAGGCTCCAACACGTCCTGCCTGTGTGTCCTTGGGCAAGTCTCATAACCTCTCTGAGCCTCAGTCGCCTTCGTGATACATACCATTGTACCTGCCTCCTAGGCTGTGAGAATTCACTGAGATAATCTTATAGTGCTTGCAGCAATGTCGGGCACATAGTAAAAGTGATCACGAAATGTCAGCCACGTCTTACCCCTGCAAGGCTCACCCCCATGGAACCCATTGTTCCCAACCCTGCTCCTGAATCAGGCACAGTTCAGCTTGCAGTGGGAGCAAAGGGCAGTGCTCCTGCCCCTTCCCCAGGCCAGAGCTGAGGAGGAGACTGAGTCACAAAGGACACCTCAGCTGCAGTTTGACCTCCGGGACTTACTGTCTGAACAGCAGGTGTCACTAGCATGGGAGAGGCCCAGAGGCACTTCTGTCTCGCCCACCTACCTGGGTGCACCCACACTAGGAGTGCCTGCACCATTTAAGCATGTCCAAGTGCCAGGGTGTGTACGGGTTCACATAAGTATGCAAATCACTAAGAACCAAGGGGCTGGCACAGCCGTGCGTGCACTCACACTCACAAGGGGGCCTGCTGCCTCTCAACGTGGTGGGGACGTGACCTGTTAATGAATGTATTTACTTCCCAAAGTTTGTGGGTATGTTTTGCATCAATCTGTAAATGGATTTGTGTTGGGGCGCAGGGAGAGAATGAGATCCCCCTGTGCCCAGTCTTGCAGGGTGCAAGTAAGTAGCTGATAGGAAGAGCAGACAGCCTTTCAGCCAGGCCTGGTCCTGTGAGTCAGAGACGTCCACCTGAGGGTTGTAAAAGGCCCGTGTGATTTTGAGGGAGATGTCGCCTCTCCAAGCCTCTCCTTATTTGTACAACAGACAGACTTAATGGTTGGTGAGGCAATGAGGCTGACAGCTCAGCATTAGCTCCAGCCACCCCTCCTGGCCATCCACACAGGGATCAAATCAGGAGTCAGTCCAGAGGTCAGAGTCAGGAGCAGACAACTCAGATCAAGCCAGGGACAGGCTGAGCCAGGGACAGGCAGGTCACATGGACATGTGCCTCACGTATGCTTCAAGGCTCCCCCCACCCCAAGCCCAGGAAGAACTAACGGACGGCTCGTGGTGCCATAGGAGGGATCTGGGTAAGATACTAGGAGGAACTTCCAGCATGATGACGTGTGATGAACAAGGGCCTCTGGCCAAAAGGTCTGAATCAGGGCTGCCCAGCCCAGCCTAGTGGGAGGGGCATGGATCATGGGGGCTCATGTACTAAACTTCACCTGGACACAAGGTGAAATAGCCCAACCCCAGAGGACCATTTTTGGCCCTGGAAGGTCGAATCCCCTCTTCCTCCCACCTCTCACTGGCTTCTCCCCGGAGCAGTCTTCATTCCAGGAGAGCCATGATGGGAGAGAAGAGCAGCTTAGCCTGGCCACCAAGAGAGCCTTTTCAGGGTGCAGGCTGGACTGCTGGTGAGGGGCCACAGGCATTTACAGTGCCAAGCCCTTGGAAGAAGACAAGGCCCCAGGCTTCCTGGAAGTGTGCAGCGTCTAGCTCAGCACCGCCCCGCCAGGTCTCTCTGCCCACATCTCCTGATCTCCCTGGGTCCATTGCCATGCAGGACAGAGGCCAGGCTCCTCCAGACCCTCTGCACAGATGTAAGGGCTAGGAGGATCCAGGAACACGGGACTCCACCAGCCCATTCTAGCATGCTGGGGCCCATGGACCTTGTTGCTCGCCCTCACCTGGATCTTTGTCCCTGCTGTACCTTTGCTTCCAGGCTAAGGATCAGTCTGAAGCAGAAAAGGGCATCCCCAATACCAAATCCTTCGGTGACCGCTTCATCACCTTCTCTACCCCACCACCAAAGCCTGCTGTTAGCAGGAGACTTGAGACAGATTTGTTCTGGGGATGTGACTGATGTCGCTATAGGGGCTCAGAGCTCTAAGCCATCTGGTACCTTCCAGGGTGTGTGAAGACCTAGATTAAGGTTCCCAGCCTTACCACTAATGGGCTGTGCATGTGGGTAGGTCTCTACCTCTTCAAGCCTTAGGTTTCTAACCTATAAAATGGAGTTAATATCTACTTCACATGAGTCTGATTACTTGCATTTTAACAGAAAACAAAGTCTTAAGTCAAAGGAATGAATCTCTCTCACTCTCAACCAAGTTTCACTCTGTCACCCAGGCTGGAGTGCAGTGATGTGATCTCAGCTCACTGCAACCTTCACCTCCTGGGTTCAAGCAATTCTCATGCCTCAGCCTCCTGAGTAGTTGGGGCTACAGGTGTGTGTCACCTACAGGCTAATTTTTTGTATTTTTCATAGATACTGGGTTTTGTCATGTTGCCAATGCTGATCTTGAACTCCTGGCCTCGAGTGGTCCGCCTCAGCCTCCCAAAGTGCTGGGATTACAGGCGTGAGCCACCATGCCCAGCCAGGAATGAATATCTAACAGAGGAATTCCAACTCTCAGCCACTGATAAAGCATTCTGAGGGCAGGGCCAGGCCACTTTCTCAGGCCTCTGATTTCACACTGTGGTGTTAATTGCTTCTTCTGAGAGGATGGCTTGCCAGAGCTCTATTTTATGTTGGAGACTCCTTCTGCCTGCAGACTCCGCGGTCTGGGAGGAAGGGAGGGATGCGCGAGCCCCTTGGTGGACCCACTGCTTTGTACATCTCTATCTCATTTCCTGTTCAGCACCACTCTGGGAAATCCGTATTCTGGCCCCATTTTATTCTAGAAAATTGAAGCTCTGAGATGTTACCTCTGTGGCCTGGGTCATATAAGTGCCTTGGATGTCCTGGCTCCAAGGTCTCAGCATCCAGAAGACAGGCCCCCTCATCCTGCCATCCCTACCACAGCTTCACTATGAGCCCAGGGGACATCTCAGCCCGAGAAGGGTTGGCGTTCCCTCCCGGACCACTGATGCCCGCAGAACTCCTCTGTGCCCTGTCCTCACCAGACCTTGTTCCTCCTGGGTGCTCCCACAGCCAGCGGACAGTGAGGGTTGCTCTTCTCCCAACCACACTGAGGAGCCCAGGAAGCCCAACCAGAGAATCAGTCCTGGGGCCTGGTTGGGGAGAGCCCCAGCCATGAGACCAGCTCCTGCCCCGGGGGATGTTATCAGTGGGTCCAGAGGGCAAGGCAGGGAGCCAGGCTGGCGGAGAGAAGGACAAAGGCCTTGGTTTCTGAGTGACCTTGGCCCTTCTCCACCAAACCCTGTCCTGAACTCAGCGGGAGATGGGGGTGGGCACACAGGGGACGGGGTAGTGGGGTGCTGCAGGGTGAGCAGCGCTCACCCACCTGGATTGAAACCCAGAGATGGAGGTGCTGGAGGGGGCTGTAAGAGCGCAGCCCTGTCACCGGGCCTTGCAGGGGCCATTGCTGCCTTCTCTTCCATGCCTTCCCTCCAGAAATCCCCCAGCCCAACCCCACCGCTTGTTCTCAGGTCTGAAGAAGCCCCTCAGTCCTCTTCAGGCTGTTTTCAGGGTTTGGGGTTGGCAGAGGGAGGGGCCTGAAATTCCAGTGTAAAGGGCTGAGATGGGCCCAAGGCCCCTGGCTATCCCTAAGCCATTTCCCCTCCCACCAGCCTCTCCCTGAGGAGCCAGTCTGCTAGGAAGGAATAGGGGGACTCACCAGGCCCACCCCCAGTTCCTGAGCCCATCCGGGACGCAAGGCTGGCGGGACAGCAGCATGGGCACAGTCTCCTAGGGATTTCCCAACTCTCCCACCAGTTGGCTGCATCCGGCCACCCTGCCTCAGGCCATGGTCTCGACTGGTCAGCAGGTGACCTTTGCCCGGTGCCCTGGTCATCAGTGCCCGCTGCCCTGGAGACAATATAAAACAGGTCAGAGCCCTCCTGCCTGTCCACTCAGTTCATCTCTAGAGGGAGCTGCTCCAGGTAATGCCTTCTGGGGAGGCGGAAGAGGAGGGGAGGAGGATGAAGAGGGGCAAGAGGGGCTCCCTGCCCAGCCTAGCCAGCAAGCCTGGAGAAGCACCTGCTAGAGCCAAGGACACCTCGGAGCTGAATGGGTGCCCCCACCTCTCACCATAACCTGAAGAAAATGGAGGCCTGGGAGGGTGTCACTTGCCCAAAGCTACATAGCGGGTGGGGCTGGAACTGGCTCCAAGTGCATGCCCCCCTCATTCTGCAGGCTTAGGGCTGGAGGAAGCCTTAGCCAGCCCAGGCCTACCCCAAACAGGGAAACTGAGACCTGGAGAAGGCCAGAAATCACCCGAAGTCACACAGCATGTTGGCTGGACTGGACAGAGAGCAGTCCAGACTGCAGATGCCTTGATGTCCAGGCTGGTGGGTTTTCTGCTCCATGCTGCCCACCTCCCTTTGGGCCTCGGTCCCCTGCCCCTCACCAGTCCCCCTTCTGAGAGCCTGTTTTAGCAGGGAGCAGGCCCATTCTCCCTCTGCAGACTCAGCTCAGGTTCTACCTTAGGGACCATGCCGCCTCCTCAGGGAGGCATGGAGTTCTGGGGTGCTCCTCACAGGACTCTTCCCTGCAGGAACAGAGGTGCCATGCAGCCCCGGGTACTCCTTGTTACTGCCTTCCTGGCACTCCTGGCCTCTGCCCGTAAGCACTTGGTGGGACTGGGCTGGGGGCAGGTGGAGGTGGCTTGGGGATCCTGGTCCCAATGGGTGGTCAAGCAGGACCCCAGGGCTTGACCAGAGGCCCATGCAGCCTGCTCAGCCCTGCTCTTTCCTCAGGAGCTTCAGAGGCCGAGGACACCTCCCTTGTCAGCTTCATGCAGGACTACATGCAGCACGCCACCAAGACTGCCAAAGACGCACTGAGCAAAGTGCAGGAGTCTCAGGTGGCCCAGCAGGCCAGGTACACCCGCCAGCCCTCCCTCCCCATCTTCCCTGCCGGCTCCCTCCATTCCCCACCGCCCCTGCCCTGGTGGGAGCCCAGCAGTGGAGCCGCGGTGCTCCCAGCCTCCCCTGGGCCTATTCCTCTTTGGCCTCCTCTTTTCTCACAGAGCCTTTGTCAGGCTGCTGCAGGAGAGATGACAGAGTCGGGACTGCATACCTCCCAGTCCCTCTGTGCTCCCCAGGGCAGCCCTAGGGCGGGCCATTTTTAGCCCTTATTTCCATTTTTCTTCCCCCTTTTTTTTTTTTGCTTCTGAGATGGAGTCTCACTGTCACCCAGGCTGGAGTGCAGAGGCACGATCTTGGCTCACTACAACCTCTGCCTCCCAGGTTCAAGCAATTCTCCTACCATTCTCCTGCCTCAGTCTCCCAAGTAGCTGGGATTACAGGATTACAGGCACATACCACCACGCCCAGCTAATTTTTGTATTTTTAGCAGAGACGGGGTTTTACCATGTTGGTCTGGCCAGTCTTAAACTCCTGACCTCAGGTGATCCACCCACCTCAGCCTCCCAAAGTGCTGGGATTACAGGCATGAGCCACTGCACCTAGCCCCCCACTTTTTTTTTCCAAAGGTCTGTCTAGAGCAGTGGTCCCCAACCTTTTTGGCACCAGGGACCAGTTTTGTGGAAGACAATTTTTCCATAGACTAGCGGGTCTGGTTTGAGGGTGAATGAAACTGTTCCACCTGAGATCATCAGGCCTTAGATTCTCATAAGAAGCGCTCAACCCAGACCCCTCGCATGCACAGTTCGCAATAGGGGGGTCAAACTCCTGTGAGAACCTGATCTGACAGGAGGCGGGGCTCAGGCGCTAATGCTCGATCCCCAACACTCATCTCCTGCTGTGCCGCCCAGCTCCTAACAGGCCACAGACCAGTACCCGTCTGTGACTTGATGCTTGGGGACTCCTGGGCTAGAGGTTGGCCTTGGGAGGCCTCACCTGACCCACCTGACCCAATTCTAGCCTGGGCGTGAGAGCACTTCTGCCTTGTTCCAAGAGCTGAGGCCCGTGTGAGCAGAAGCCCATCCTTCTCTCCCATCCTGCCTTCTCTCTCATCCTGCCACTGCTCACCGGTCCTCTCCTCTCCCCCACTCCCTTCTCCACCTCACCCGACTGGCATTGGCGGGCATAGCAGAAGTGTGCTTAAATATTCTTAGTCCTCAGAACCCGCCATGGGGTAGGCGCTATTTTCCCACTTTGCAGATGAGAAAATTAAGGCTCACAGCAAGTAGGTGACCTGCCTCAGATCACACGGCTAATTAATCCTCTAATGACTTTCCAAATGAGAGGCTGCCTCCCTCTGCCCCACCCCACTTAGAGCCACCAGGATGTACAACTCCAGGGGGTGCTGTTTGCACAGAAAAACAATGACAGCCTTGACCTTTCACATGTCCCCACCATGTCACTCTGTGCCTTAGGCCCAGGGGTACAAACATCATCCAGATGTGACCTGGAGACAGCAGAGTTGGACTTGGCTGGGGTCCCTGGGAGGGTATCTCTTCTCCCAGGCTGGCGGCCGTGGGTGATTCCTGCCTGAGATCTCTGGGCTGTTGTCAAGTGAGGTTGAGAGGGTGTCGGGGAGAGCCAGTGGGGACATGGGTGTGTGTCCCATGTTGCCTATGGAGGAGTTCTCACGCCCCCCCCCCCCCACCTCCATTGCTTCTCCTTACTGATTTAGGGACTGGGTGACCGATGGCTTCAGCTCCCTGAAAGACTACTGGAGCACCATTAAGGGCAAGTTCTCTGAGTTCTGGGATTCGAGCCCGGAGATCACAACTCTGGCCGAGGGTGTCTGAGACCTCAACTCCACAAGTCCACCTGCCTGTCCATCCTGCCAGCTCCTTGGGTCCCGCAGTCTCCAGGCTGCCCCCACAGGTTGCTTAAAAGGGACAATACTCTCATTGCCCTCCCACTCCCCATCATGCCTGGCCCCCTCCAGGCATGCTGTCCTCCCAATAAAGCTGGACAAGAAGCTGCTATGAGTGGCCCGTCGCAAGTGTGCCATCTGTGTCTGGGCATTGGAAAGGGCTAAGGCTGTTCTGTGGGTGGGCACTGGCCAGCATTCTGTCCACTTCCTGGTAGCTGGGCGGTCTCTGGACCTCATTTTCTTCATCTCTACGGTAGGAATCATCCTCCGTACCCTGCCTTCCTTGACAGGTTTATGTGGAAGACCAAACAGGACAATATATTTGCTGATACTTGATAAACTGTTAGGTGCTGCTCAACATGACTTGAGTGGGTGCCCTATGCCAGCCACTATGCCTGGCACTTAAGTCCTCATCAGAGTTGAGACTGTGTGTGTTCACTCAAAGCTGTGGAACTGACCTCCCCTACCCAGGCCACCTGGCAGGTACAGGTGAGGGGAGGAGGCCGGATGGGCTCGTGGCTGGAGTAAGATGCAATGAGGCACTAGTCTTGGCTCCACCACTTGACATCAGCCTCAGTTCCTTACATGTAAAATGGGTACGACAGTACCCCCTCCACTTCAGGTGTGTCATGAGATTGAAATGAGAGTGTTCAAACCATTTGGCCCAGCCCCTGCATGTGAAGATGCCTGATAAATGTTGTCATCATTATAGTTGAGCTGACTGGGCCCTTGGGACGCAGCTTGGAGTGGCAGGGGGCAGTGTCCTGGAATCCAAAAAGGAGCACAAGGTCACACCAACAGAGGGGGCCTTCGTGTCCCCACCACCTGAAAGATGTCAGGCCAGAGAGCTCTAGAGCTGCAGATGGCTTGAGTAGGCCTCCACTCCTCAGATGAAAAAACTGAGGCCCAGAGAGGCGAACACAGTTGCCCAGCACCACAGAACCAGCACGTGGCAGGGCCAGACCTTGAGCCCAGGTCAGCCATGTGTATTCTGCTCAGTTGATGCAGAAAAGTTTTGTCACTTCTGTGTCAGGTGTTAGGGGCTTCTTTACAGATCTCAGTGGCATCAGTACCTCCGGCCCCACCTGAAGACTGCTTTCTCTCTGGAAATTCCCTAGGGCTTCTCTGCACCGAGAGATCTCAGCACCCTTATCTGGAAAATGTTCCCACCCAGACCTGGCTGTCTGTCTGCTGTAGCTCTGGAAGATTAGGAACTAAAGAGCTGACTCCTTTTTCCAAGGGGTAGCTAAGATACACTGGAGATGGGGCTATGGGGACGGGGCAGATTACCCAGGGGCCTGCATGATGGGGCAAAAGGTCCTGCAGAAAGAGGGCAGGGAAGGCTCTATGGGTGCACTGCCCAGATCTGTGGAGCCATGTGCATGCACGCGGGGACATTCAGACATGGGTGCACAGAGGGACTGTGAGCAGGGAGGTCATGTGAGAATATGCAGGCATGCCTGCACACCCATGTGAACTTGCGTGCTAGGCCACACACTTCTTTTTTTTTTTTTTTTTTTGAGCTAGAGTCTTGGTCACCCAGGCTGGAGTGCAGTGGGACAATCTCAGCTCACTGTGACCTTCGACTCCTGGGTTCAATCGATTCTCCCGCCTCAGCCTCCCTAGTAGCTGGGATTACAGGTGCAAGCCACCATTCCCAGCTAATTTTTTGTATTTTTAGTAGAGACAGGGTTTCACCATGTTGGCCAGGCTGATCTCAAACTCCTGGCTTCAAATGATACCCACCTTGGCCTCCCAAGTGCTGGGATTACGGGCGTGAGCCATTGCACACAACCCATACACTCTTAATCATGGATGTCGAGGAGCGCAGGGTCTAAATAGGGTTGCCTAGCCCATCCTGCTGTTCACTGGGCAAGCAACATCCCATCTTAGGGCTTCAGCATCCTCATCCACGCTGTGCCATGGCAATCTACACAGGATGTGGGGAAGGGAGGATGCAGTGAGATCACAGATATGAGAGCATCTTGGAAATAAAAATGTACCTGCAAGAGGTGGTGGTGATTTTTCTGACCCAGGTCAGCTTCTGTCAGAGCTAGCAGAAAGACCGGGTGGCACCGCATGGGGCCGCAGGGGGCGGGGGGCTGGCTTCCACTGCTGTGCCTGAGGATGCTGTGGCTATTGCTAGGTGGGATGGGAGGAGTGGGAGGGAGATTGTGAAAAGGGAATTGTCTGCTTGACAGGTTTTTGAATTAATAAAGGAGTATAGGCGCAAACTCCAAGCACTTCGCTGTACCTGGCCTAACCTCTGTCCCAGTTGCTCCCTGAGGCCGCTCTGCCCCCACCCCTCTGAAAGCGGCTCTGTGTGGGAACACCTCTGGGGACTGGGAACCCCACTGCCCCCAGGTAAAGTAACCCTGTTTCCTGGCCTGTCTCGGACAGGGATGTAGGCCTCGTTTGATCCTCTTTCAGGACATTTGGCCTTGGATTGTCTGTGGCTTTGGTGGTCCGCTGTGACTTCCTGTCTACTTGAGCCTTGCTAAGGCAGACTCTACTCCCTCCCTCACAAGCAGCCAGGCCTCCAGCAGGTCCTCCAGCATCCATCTTGGCCCTAAGAGGCTCGGTCTGGGCACGGAGTTGTTGAGATCCGGCTGGAAGTCCTTGGGCCAGGGCCAAAGGCCCCACCCGGGCTCCCCCGATGTCCCGCCCCCCCCCGCCCCCTTTATTCTCCCAAAAGAAAGAAGCTGCTTCCCACTTTGGAAACGTTTATTCTGAGCACCGGGAAGGAGAGCGGCGGCTGGCGCCTCACTGGGAGCTCAGCTCTTGGTGTACTCCTCGAGCGCGCTCAGGAAGCTGGCCTTGAAGCTCTCCAGCACGGGCAGCAGGCCTTGGCGAAGGTCCTCGAGCAGGGGCTTGGCCTTCTCGCCGAGTGTGCTCAGATGCTCGCTGGCCTTGGCGTGGTACTCGGCCAGGCTGGCGCCGCCGCTCTCCTTGAGCGCCTCGAGGCGCGTGGCCAAGCGCTGGCGCAGCTTGTCGCTGTAGGGTGCCAGTTGTGTGCGCAGCGTGTCCACGTGGACGCGTGCGCGGTCGCGCACCTGCTCTCCCAGCGAGCTCAGCTTCTCCTGCAGATCCTGCAGCTTCTGGAGCGCGCCCTCCTGGAGCTCCGTGCGCAGCGGTTCTAACTTCTGGGAATAGAGTTTCATCTCCTCCTCCCACTTCTTCTCGAAGTCGTCCAGGTAGGGCTGCACCTGGGCCTTCACCTCCTCCAGGTCCTTGCTCATCTCCTGCCTCAGCACCTCTGTCTCCTTTTCCAGGTTTTCCCAGAACTCCTGGGTCACCGGGCCGAGCTGTTCGCGCAGCTTGTTGACAGTGGAGGTCAAGCTGTCCCAGTTGTCCAGGAGCTTCAGGCTGGACGGGGAAACACAGTGGTTGAGGGCTGGCCTCCCAGCGCCCCAACCAACCCGGGGTGAGTCCTGGGCGACACCTGTCCGCGAAGGTGCAGTGGCCTAGAGTTTCAACACTCTCAAGCAACACCTCTGCCCTGCCCTGCCATGCCCCGTTGTGCAGCTGGACCGAGGCACAGAGAGGAGCTAAGAAAGAGACAGAGCTGGGACTGGTGCCCAGTTCTCTGGTCTCCAAAATGGGCCCTTGAAGGACCTCACCTCTCTGCCTCCAGCATATTCTCCTCTCCCAAGACAGCCCACACTTTTGCTGGGCAGGAGCAGAGGAGGTGACGAAGGGCAAGGGGGCTGCTGCACTTGTAGGCACAAGCTGGCGTTGTTACCACAGATCAGGCAGCCCTGGTCTGACCTTTGCAGGGGGCATGGGCTGTGACTCTGCCCGGGGCTCCCATTCCGGTCTCTGCATCCAGACCATTTGTGGGGCCCAGCTCGTCAGATAGTAGGTGAGGACTCACCAGTCTGGATTCAACATCTTCCCACAGGCCTCTGCCCCCTGCCCCTGCCCTCAACCCCAGGCTGGGTCCTTACTTTAGCTGTTTTCCCAACATGGAGCTTTCAAACTGGGACACATAGTCTTTGCCGCTCTCTTTGACTGAATCCACGTACACAGTGGCCAGGTCCTTCACTCGATCCCAGGGGCTCTGGGGAGGTTCATCTTGCTGCCAGAAATGACGAGCCTGGCTCCCTGAGGGTGGGAGGGGAGACTCAGATCAGGCCAACTGTGGGCTGGGATCTGAGCCAAAAGGCCAGGCTTGGAGATGGGAGAGAGGGGGCCAGTGAGAAACCTGCTGCCTCTGCCCAGGAGGGTGAGCCAAAGGGGTTTAGGGAGAAAGCCCCCCAATGGTTGGTTCCCTAGGCTGGGGGACACCTACCCGTCAGGAAGAGCATGGCCAAGGTCAGCACCGCAGCTTTCATCCTGAAGGGCTGTGGGGGACCTGGAGGAGAAGAAGGGCCTGGCTGAGTGGCGGCAGGAGGGGTGTGTCTCTAGCATGCTGAAGCCCCCTGCTCCCCCCACTCATTACAGCCAGGTGAGGAGAATGTGCACAGAGTGGGAGAAGACCTCAGGTTCCCAGAAGCCTGGCTTGGGGCAGAGCCTGAACCTCGATGCCTCGCCTCGAGCTGGGTAGCCAGAGTCACCCGGGACAGGCAGCAGCACTCACCTCCTTCTTGGGCAGGCAGAAACACTCACCTTCTTCTGGAAGACTAAGTAGCCAGCTCTCGCAGGGCCTATTTATGTCTGCAGCCAGGGGCTGGGCAGGGAGACAGATAAGCCCAGCCTGGGCCCTGCTGCTGCTCACTGGTCCTGGCGATGTGGAACTCAAGAGTTCAAGGATCAGCTCTGTCCCTGGGGAAGGGCAAATACAGTGGGCAAACAGCGAGCTGCCGAGCTGCAGGGCTGCAGGGCAGGGGTCAAGGGTTCAGTGGGGGCGGGAGGGGAGTGGCTGCAGGCTTGCAGGTCTCCAGGGTGGGGTCGGGGTTCCCTGCACTCATCCCCTTCCCCTCCATGGGAGTGTGTGGGCGGTTGCCATTGTCCATTGTGCTGGCAGAGGGGAGGGGAGGGACGCTGGGACTCCTCCACCCAGGAGACCTCCTCCCCCACCATCCTGCATTCCAGGGAGACTACATCACTCCCACCCCTCTTCCCCCACCCCTTCCTCCCACCACTGTGCTTCTTTGGTCCCCAGCAGGTCCTGCA